AATGCGTATTGTTATACATGAGTATGTTGTACGCATTGATTTTTTCACCAATACATTACTTCTTTAAGAACTTGTACGTTTTATCGTAGGACTCTGTATTTATTGTTACCGTTAAACAAGGTGTACAGTATACATGTACATGTATTTGAATGTGTTTAACTTCTACGTTTTTCAGTTTTATTCAAACTATGGATAAATCTCAATTGCCAAATTTTATTTTTAAGTTCTTTATGGGAAATACATCTTCAGTTACTGTTCAAGTCAATGATGACACGCCTATCCGTATCGAACTCCCTTTAGAGAAAAAACTTACTGAGATACGTAAAATACTTTCTGACAAGCCTGATATAAGAATGGGCCATAAAGTTGATTTTATTGACCTATCTACCAAATGTAATCCAAAAATACCATATGAAAACGAAGAGAAATATAATTTAAGAAATATTCTTGGCAAGGATAATAGTTTAAAGATCAGTGGTAATATCGAACCAGATTGGATAGAGATTATAGAAAATAATTCTCTTGAATATGGAATATTTTTTACGAAGGATGGACCAAAACACGTAGAGGAAAAAAAAGCTTTTAAGATTTTACGACATCCCAAGTCTACTTTGCGAAATCCAATCACCCTTAATGAGGAGAAGGCTTGCAAAACGGAAATCGATGAAATTTATTTAAAAAATTTAGTTGTAAAGACAAAGTAAGTAATAAGGCCTTAAAACTAAATGTTATGATTGTAATCTATGTTTATGAACATGTACTTCTTTTTAGCCTACATTCTATTGCAACAATTGATGGCTCTTACATTTCAACATCTGAGATCCACAGAAATAATGCAAAATTCGATAGCTACTGTACATCAGTAAGAATAAACGCAGTATTTAACATGACCAAAACTGAAATTGAACCCACAGACGAATTCGTTTCAGCAGTCGATGCGGCACTCCGATCACCAGATCGATGTCAATCTCTTAAACAAGTTACCGAGGAATTTGGGGAATATTGGTGCGAACAAGCTAAAATTGGTGGAAGCATTTTATATGTTAGTAGAAAAGAATCGGGGGTTAGGGAGGTAATTGGTGCTGAAGAACAAAACGCATCTGCAGCGTTGAAGTTAGCTGATACTACTGCAATCGAAGGAAGAATAGGAACAAACCAAGGAAAAAAGATTTCGAATTCACGGGAAAAGGAATATTCATTTATAAAAATACGAGGAGGCTCAGAAACAAAATTTTACGAGGAAGGTTTTGCTGGTAAATATAGATCTTTTTTACCTTAAATTATAATTATCCATTTATAGTAAAGCTTCATTTTTATAGAATGGCTAAAATCCCTAAAGAATTATGATAAATGGCGTGTGGTAGAATATTCGGAAACTCATTCCATATTTGACATTCTTGATAAAGACAGACAAGCAGAAGTAGCTAAGGGATTTCAGAAACAAATTGTTGGTTCCAAAGTGATAAATATAAACTTTGAAATGGACCTCTCCACACCAAAGCCACACCAATACTCGTATGAATTCCCCAAAAATATTGACCTATCAAATACACAAATTTTTATTACGGAAATGAATGACAATAAATCCGATACAATATTTGCATCTCGAGTTCATTATTATGCCCGTAAAGAAACACCAGTAATTCTATTGCATCGACTTGGAAAATTAAAAAAACAACCAACAATCCGAAGGTTTTCAGTAAAGTTGGGTTTTATCTTAATCGGTACAACAAACAGATTGAATCTTATTGAGCGAAATTCATCACAACTAGAATTCGAAAATGGCACAGCATTAATCACTGTAAATAACGATAACGATAACGATAACGATAACGATAACGATAACGATAACGATAACGATAACGATAATAATAATAACGATAATAATAAGTGCACTGCAGTTATTTCAAACCATCAAATGAAGCCAAATACAAGTCTTTTGGCCACTTTTGTTTCGAAATCAAATGATAACCCTGATAATTCGAAGCATATTGCCAGAGCCCATTTTGTTAATCAAAACGATTCCATTAACGCTTGTGCATTTTATTATAATCTTGAAAGTAGTAAGTATTTTAAATTTAATATACGTAAAGCTTTTTTCTTACAAGTTGCTAACATTTTATATAAAAAAGGACAACTGGATTATAGGTTAGAAAATATGGAGTTTTCGATCAATTACAGGTTAGAATTTGTGTTATTCTTAATAAATATTTTTAATACTAACAGTCTATCTATTCTTTTTTTTAGTATAATTTCCGGACAAGAAAAAACCGCTAAATTTGGCCGAGCTCAAATAAAGAACAAATTTATTAAATCTATGAGCAGACGATTAACTCGTTCAAAAAGATTCGAAGTTATATTTGATGACTATCATAAGTTACAGTTTGTCAATGAAAGAAAGCCTTGTTTAAAAAACCCGATTTTTGTTAATTTGCTCCTAAGGAAATGTCCAGAAAACTGTCCCCATGGAGTCTTTAATATTACACTTGATCATGCGGCATTTAAGACTATTATTGATAGTTCGGGTTTACAAAGTGCGCAAATAGCATATTTTAGTGTTCAAACTTTTAAGGATAATGAAGAGAGAGAGTCTTCACTTTAATCTTAATATTATTCGATATACATACATGCATTTATTTTTGCTTGGGTTTATGTATAGAAATTTTATACAGTATAACTTCTCTATCTAAAATACTGTAATTCGTGATTCAGATGCCGGTCAAGGGGAAATGGAGTAGTTCACTAATTATCGAATTCATTAGAAATGTTGTAAATAAGGTTCTGCTAGCTTTCAAGACTTAATTCTATCTAAAATGTTTAGCTGAGCACTGTTACTTAGTTAGTCATCATAGTAAAAATTTTGTTTTGAATTTTGCTTGTTAAAATCTGAATGAATATTTCACATTTAATAAACTTCTAAAAAAACAATGGAATAGAGAAACAAGTACGTAAAACTCAACTATTAAAAAATACACGGAGCAGAACGGAATTTGTCGTTCTAACATTTATTTCTTTATATGGAACACTACGTAATTGCATATCGATATCGATATCGATATACATGTAACATGTATTTTTATACATGTACATGTACGTACATGTTCTGTGTACTACGTAGTACGAACGTATAAGTTAAAAATTTGAAGATTTTTTCCTTAACGTTAACCAGACGTCTTCACTGTATCGGTATCGAGTGAAGATTTTTTCCTTGACCAATGTCTTTAATATATCGAGAGTGAGTTGTATTATATTTTACTACATGGTGTATGTTAAACATGATGAAAAGCCATCTTTAAATATGCAAACTTACAATTCATCGACTGTATATTCTTTATTAAGAATTTTATTTGTTAGTGGGCAAAACAATCTTGGAATAGAATCTGTGTTGATTTGGAATCAACTTAAGTTGATTTAGAATATTGGCCAGAGTTAAGTTAATTTAATTTTATAATGCAGGCCAAATTCCAAATCAACACAAATTCTATTCCAACTCACAACATATACATTTTATTTTTCTTGTACGTGACAAACTAATCCAAAGTTCCGTATGTGGTTAACGAACTAATCATATCTTAGTGTTGCGTGTTTATTGGTGATGGTGCAATTGTTCTTCAGTATACTCAGTGTACGCTTAATAAATTCATACATGGTGATAAAAATAATAATTCAGATGTTTTTATTTTACGCGTCTTTTGTTATGTAAAAAATGTTTAAAATTCATTCTACGGCCTGCATATTCAAAACGAAATTTAACGTTAATATTAAAGTATCTGTCTCCAATCGCGCAGATTGTGCAGGTCAATGATTACGTAGTATTATCGTTATCGTTATTATTATCATTATATTGTTTTACACAACAGAGTTCACTTTAACTCTCTATAGAACGAAGATTTTAAAAAATTCTTTATTATAGACTATTAATAAGAAGAGTTCACTTTAACGAAGACTTCACATTGACGAAGTTTTGGTTGGAACGAGACCTTTGTTAAAGTGAACCTCACTGTGTACATTTCTTATCACGCAGATAAGAGAACAAAGTTTCATTTGCAAATCTATATATAGCCAAAGAAATGACGATAGCGATAACGATAAGTTTTCCGGAAATAACTACCCGCGTGTTTTATGAGTATAAAAAATAGTGATGTAGCTTATTTTTGGATGTTACCGTTACCATTACACTTTTGTATTTTTAAGCCTAATACACAGTACCCCCAAAAAGTATCGCCCGATTTTTTCAAAAAATGAAATTTTCGATTTATTTCATTTCTGCTTTATATACATAAAATTTTTTTTACCATTAACTAATACATTACCCACCCTCTATATGGCTTCAATATCACCTCGATTACTTACGGCAT